AATAAATAAAAATAAATATTAAAAAAAAAATGTCAGTTGCACTGTTTTTCTCTTTGCTGCTCTCTGTCCATCCAACTCTAGCGAACTTGCTCATGCTGCAGGGTTTTGCTTGTGTGGGGGAAGTTGTTTATAGTTAGTTTTGTTTTTCTTTGGTACCAGAACTCGAACTCCGAACCTTCCGCTTTCAGGGCAGGCACTGTGCCTGCAGAGCTATACCCCTGGCCCTGTCTTGGTATTTTGAGACAGCATCTTTCTATGTACTCTGGGCTGATCGTGAAGCCACTGTAGACTTCAGGCTGTCTTCAAACTCATGTTCCTTCTGCCTCCGCCTCCTGAGTGCTGGATCACTGGCTCACCCACTGGCACACATAACACATCCAAACGGGGGTGCTGTGGTCTTATCTCCAAACAAGGCATGGGGTAGGTGTGAGCTCTTGCCCCGCCACCCCAGGCCCCAGCCTCGCTGGGCCTGGACTCAGGACATCTGTACCTCTGCGGAAGTCCTCGCGCTGTGACGTTCTTGGCTTCCTCAGAGTTTTCTCCTTCTTCCTATGAGCACAGGTAGAATGGGCTCAGTCGCACAGCCCTGCCACAGGCAGCAGGGGACAAAAGCAGCCAGAGACCTGCGGCAGGTCCGGGGGCAGCCACACCGGTGGGTGGAGCCCTGCTGAGTTACCGAGAGCTCCAGGCCCAGGTTCTGGATGCCGTGCTCCATCCCGGACAGAACAACCTCTCTTCCACTGGCTTTGTCCATCTTCTGTTCTCATCTGGAAAACAATCAGAGCCAAGGCTGAAAGATGGATCATCCCGTCCTGTGGGGGTCACAAGACATTTTAGGGCCATTCACTGGCTGGGAATGCAAAACTAAAAGCTTTAAAGTGGGGCATGCCTGTAATCTCAGCACTCAGGAGACGGAGGCAGGAAGATCTGCAAGTTTGAAGCCAGCCTAGGCTACAGAGTGAATTCAATGCCAGCCTGAACTACACAGTGAGACCCAGTCTCACAAAACCAAAAATAAATTAATTTAAAAATAAAGGGCCAGAAAAAATAAAATAAAATAATAAAAGGACTGGGGAGATGGCTCAGTGGAATAAGTGTTTCCCTGGCAAGTGCAAGGGCCTGAGTTCTAATCCCCAGTTCCACCAAAAAAATAAAAATAAAAATAAAGGGCCAGGCGTGGTAGCACACACCAGTAATCCCAGCACTTGGGAGGCTGAGGCAGGAAGATCTTTGCAAGTTCAAGACAAGCCTGGTCTGCAAAGTGAGCTCAAGGCCAGCCTGAACTGCACAGCAATTCTTTCAAAGAGTTGATTTCGGGGCCAGGGAGATGGCTCAGTAGAGTAAGTGCTTCCCTGGCAAGCACATGGGCCTGAGTTCAATCCCCGGTTGGGGGGGGGGATTAAAGGAGCACATTAAAAAAAAAAAGAATGGCGCTGGGTGTGGTGGTGCCTACCTGTAATTCCAGCACTTTGGGAGGATGAGGCAGGAGGATCACTACAAGTTCAAGGCCAGCCTGACCTACACAGTGAGTTCAAGACCATCCTGAGCTGCATATCAAGACCCTGCTCAAAACAAAGAAAGAAACAAAAAAAAAAGTGGCCTTGTTTACATCCTCAAAAGAACACTGCTAAAAAAAAAAAAAAAAAAAAAAAACCACTGCTACTGGGTATAAAGTCTCAGCCTCCAAACACTTGGGAGGCTGAGGCAAGAGGTTCACCATGAGTTCCAAAACAACCCAAACTACATGTGAGACCCTCTTTCAAAAATTTTTTTAAAGGGGCCGGGGAGATGGCTCAGTAGAACAAGTGCTTGCCTGGGTTCAATCCCGGTTCTGCCAAAAAAAAAAGAGGAAGGGTTGAGCTGTCATTACTCCCTTTCCCCAGGGGAGGCCCCAAAGCGCCAGGCTGCACATAGAGACAGAGAAGAGAGCTGAGAAAAGCCCAGAAACCAAATCACTGTGGACAAAACAGCCAGGCCATCAGCTCCCTGACAAGAGCGTGCACAGCGGCACAGAGAGAGGGCCTGCGCCTAGGCTGATGGGTACAAACACCGGTGTCCGAGGCGAGCAAAGTGAAATGTAAAAAACTTAAGCCTCGAGGGGCTGGAGAGATGGCTCAGTGGTCTAAAGCACCTACTTGGAACAAGCTTGGCAAAGCACAGGGACCGCGGTTCGATCCCCCAGCACCACATGCCAGCCAGCCGCGCCCCCTGGTGGGCTGAGCTGGCCACACACACACACACACACACACACACACACACACACACACAATAAATAAATGTTAAAAAAAAAAATTAAAAAAAAAATAAAAAAAAAAAGAAACTTAAGCCTCGGGACAGGCAACCCTAACACAGGAGCGCTCGCAGGCAGGAGACAGGTTCATTTGGCAAAAACTTCCTTCCTCTGGAAATAGCTTTTTAAAACTGTGATCTCTTCCAGCATTCCGAGTGTAACTTCACTAAGCATCGACAGCCGGCTTTTAGGGCGCAAAGGAGGGAACAGAGCTACCTGAATCTTGTCCCTCTCTGACACCTAAGGAAAACGGCAAATCGGGGTCCCATCCGTCCCCACCCTGGCTTACCCCAGCCTGTGGGATCCCTTAGGCTCCTCCGGGCGACACTAAGGACACGCTCAGCTGTGTGGGATGGGCTGCAGAGCCATGGCCAGCTGGGCTCCCGGCCGTCCCCGCCTCCTTTACGTGTCCTTGCTCCTGCAGAAGCAGGGGCCTCCCTGGTTAATGATTGATAGGCTTATAGGGGCTCTCCAGCCGGTCGGAGGATCTCCAAGAACCTCTGACCACCGCCCTCTGCTGCTCTAGGGACTGGGTGGTACAGCAAAGTCTCTCGGTTCCCAAACGCACCCGGCTTGCCCGGAAAGACACTTCCTGGAAAATAACAGAGCGCACAGCTGTTCGAGATTCAGTGCCCCAAGACTCTGGGAGTTCCTTTATCGATCCGTTCAACCAGTATTGAGAATATCTGCCAAGCACCCGGACAGAGCTCTTGAGTGCTAGGGATGCAGGTGACAGACAGAGCGACGGTCCTGCGAGAGCCGGTGAAGCTCCAAAGGAAACAGGAGAAGAGTGATAAAAAGACAAATGCAAGGGGCTGGGGAGATGGCTCAGTGGAATAAGTGCTTCCCTGGCAAGCACAAGGGTCTGAGTTCAATCCCCAGTTCCAAAAAAAAAAAAAAAAGACAAATGCACAGGACTGGGTAAGAGGCAGGCAAGGAGATGGTGAATGAAAGGAGGGAAGACACGTTTTCAAGATTGTCGGGAGCTGAGGGGGTATAGCTCTGTGTAGAGCCTGTGTTTAGCACTTGTGAGATCCCGGATCCAGTCCTCAGCACCCGCGTCCCTACGTGCTGTGCCCCAAACACCTCCGTGCCTTTAGGACTTTGGTACGGGACAAAGCTCTGGGACTGTACGCCGGCCCTTCCGCCACGGGTACTCCGCTCTGATTCACTTACCTAACGGCCCCCGCCTCTGCCATGAGATGCTCCGGGACTCACCGGATGAGATCCCGAGGCCAGTTGCCTGCCTTCCCGCCTTGCCATGTCCTGTGAGACTCGCCCGCTAGACAGTGGTGTCCTGCAGCTCTGGCTCTCCAGCTGTCCCCCACAGATACCCCAGCTCAGGGACTACCTCATTATTAGGAAATCAGCAAATATTTGCAAAGAAGTGCAAACAGCACCAACGCTGCAATGCTCTGGCTTAGATTACTTGCTATTAGAGATGAGTCCTACCCTAAAATAGGGACGTCTGTTTCTAGTTCCTCCCAGAGAAAGTGAACAGTGGATCAGGGGCTAGGTCGTCTCCTTGGACCCTGTGTCTTTCCTGTCCTGTCTACTGCTATCTCACAGGATTATAGTGAAAAGTAAGTAATTTACTTACTTTTAATCTTTTATTTACTTATTTATTTGGTACAGGGTCTCTCTCTGCCCAGTTTAGACTCAGTGATCCTCCTGTCTCAGCCTCCCCAGCACTGGGGAGGTATGACAGTGGTGATATAGAAAAGACTCTGCAGGGAGCTGGGGATATAGCTCAGTGGCATAAGCACCTGCCTGGAAAGCACAAGGTCCCGAGTTCAATCCCCAGTACAAAAAAAAAAAAAAAAAATTAAATGAAGTTGAAAAGTCTCTGCTTTCAGAGACTCAACCAGCTTACACAGAAAGACATTTCCTGGAAAATAACAGCATAAAACCATTCGAGATTCAGTGCCCAAAGAGCCCTGGGAGTTCCTTTACCGATCTGTTTGACCAGCACTGGGATTACAGGCATGTACCACCACTCCCACCACCACTTCCAGTTTCAGTGGCTGGCACAGCAGACCTGGGGTTCCCAGGGCTGGCGTGGCATGTGGTAGCCAGGACTGCACTTGCCAGACAGGTAGTCAGATCGTTGAGCTATTGCCCCAGCCCAAAAACTTAAGAAATTTTATTTTTTAAATTTATTTTTATTTATTTATTTATTTATTTTTGGTGGCACCAGGAATCAAACTCAGGACCTTGTGCTTGCCAGTAAGGCACTTAAGCCACTGAGCTATAGCCTAGGCCCAAGTAATTTAATAGAAAAAATAATCTGGAAAATTGTAGATAATCTTGTAATTGTGGGATGGCAGAAGATCCTGCTGCTAGATCTTCAGGAAAGACGCCTATGTGAGGGCTGGCTGCTTCCAGGTGCTCACGGCTGCCATCGGACTGCATCTCAGGGCAGCTGTTGCTCCTTCTCTGTGTGTGTTTGTCTCTCTTTCACTTTTGCCTTAAATAGCTGTCAGTTCTGGAGCTAGGTCCAGGCATAATGACAACCACCCTCCTCCTTTTGCTGCAGAAGGTATAAAATCCACACCTTCACTGTCCAGTTGCCACCGCAGAGTTCATTTCACTCTCTGCAGAGATCCAGATGGGCAGCCACCACCAGGAGCAGGACATTTGCCCGGCAGAACTCTCCCTGGGTGCACCGTTCAGACTCCCCTGTATGTGCTTTGTCTTATCAAATACAGTTTTATTGATAAATGCTCTCAAATGACAGATCATGAAGAACAAGGTGATGTACTACTTCAGGTCTCCCAGCTCTGGGTACCCCCGCCCTTCCCCCAGCTCAGACCTCTGTCTGGGCAGCGAGGTGAAAGGTTAGTAAGAGACGCTAGGCCGCAGCAGCTTCCCAAAAGGTTTTCCTGTACCTGCGTTTTTCATCCCACGATATTCCTGTAAGCCCAGCAGGTCGGCTGCTAACCCTGTCTGTGGTACAGAGAAATAGATGCACAGGTGATGAGCAGTTTGTCTATAACCGAATAGTTAGGGCAGAGCTGCTCCTTCCAGTGGTAGCCGGACCTGAGGGCTTCCTAGAGCCTGAAAAGCGCTCCTGGAGCACGAGGGACCCGCAGGACCCAGCTGTGGTGACAGAGGCAGAGTTGATGGGCACAGCTACCTTCCTGCTCCTACCCTCCCTTTGATTACTGCAAAAGCAGGCAGAGCCTGAGAGATATAGGACTTCCGGTTGGGGGTCTTAGGAGAGTAGTTGTTTTTTCACTGAGATTCCTCCTGCAAAGCTGAAAGGGATTGACAAGATACAGAAAGCATCAGCTGGAAGGCATCACAGAGCAACCAACAGCGCCAGGACTGGTCCTGCGTAGCGAAAGGGAAGCATGAGGCTTGTGCCCCACATTTAACCTGGCTCTGTCCTTGTTATTGCTGTTGTTGTTGCTGCTGCTGCTGCT